TCCGTAGATTAGGGTTGGGCGGCAGAACAGCTCGCGCGCAGCAGCGCGGGTAAGCAGGAGCTAGATACGGGGTAAAAACTTAAACCGAAAGGGTAAACAATAGCCGTGTACGTGTATTAACCCACTTTATGCAATGTATATTGCCAAAGGCTGTACCGTTCACTTTTTTGTTTATAGAGAAAAAATTTCTAATAGACTTGTAGTCTATTTATTAAAAAAAGTTCAAAATCATAAAAAGCCACCCAATTTAATTTTTTTATTTTTTATTAATAAATCAATAAAGTTCAAATCAATTATAGGTATGTGCTCATTCATAGTGGTGAACAGTGTTGCCGTTTTAGTCCTTTGGTGGCTAGATTTGGCTACCACATACTTTTTTTGGCCACATAAATTTAAAATTGCCCTTAGCCCTTTTTTTAGCCGTTTGGAGAATTTATTCATACTTGGCATGAAAAAGTGGTATATGCTTAATTTTATATATGTATTTTTTCATTTATTTAAGAGATGAATTTTTAAACTAAAAAAGACTGATATATATATATATATNCGACCAGTTTTTTTCGTGTACATTCTTTAGATGTTCCTTACGTTTTTATACATACATACTGTAAAAGTGTTAGGGCTGTTAACTTATTTATTAACGATTTAACTATAGTTTAAAATAGATAAGTTTACGGCCCTTAATATGCTTAATTTGTTAAATGGCCCATCAAGTCGATTGACCGTGTATGTTCTTGTGGTGTGATTGTACCAGCTGCTGATGCGACTTCAAAAACTATTTGCAAATTTTATGATTGTACCATCATGCTGGTGTCGTGAGTGGTGAAATCAGCTCAATTTTCAAAGTAAAAAGTATTGTGGCGGAAATTTCTTCACTATATGAGTCAAAGCCGTGTTTGTGGAAGATTAAGTTCACGATATTGCAGTTGTGAATTAAAAAAAAAAAACAATGTTTAACAAAATGGTAGAAAAATTATGAAATTTCGGCTCTAATCATTTCGATCTTTCCTGGACCTCATTTGTAAAGAAATAAATATTGTACCAGCATGGTGGTAAGTTATATACTTCGAGCCTGATGGTACAATCACTTGATGGAGCCAGCAACCTGGTGTCGTAAATTTCCCATTTTATACAAAAAGGTATTTGGTTGGATAAAATATTAGCTTTTTTTCCAGAGTTCATTGTTTTTCTATTCCATCATTTACTTATTGGAAAATGTTTACGTGTATACTTATATATGTATATGTAAGTAAAAAATTTTAGCTACCACTTTTAGCCACAACGACTTCTTTTAGCTCTTTTTTAGCCCTTTTTTTAAAGGAATTTGGCTACCACAAAAAAATGATTCGCGGCAACACTGGTGGCGAACCAAGAATGATAGAATACAAGATTGCGCATTCCTGCGGGTGATGACGTCACGTTCGAACGAATAGAGCAGATGGAGGAGACGAAAAAAGGCGGCGGCCACCAGTTGTAAACAAATCGTAGTTGTGTTCATCTACTTTTGAACAGAAAATTGAAGATCGAAAAATTTAATATTAGGCCCAGAAATATCGAAATAAAGAAGAATAATGAAACACTAAGCTAGTAGAAATTGGTAACGCGAGTTCCTAGCAAATTGTTTCTGCATTTTTTTATAGTTAAAAATGTCCATTAGCAAAAACTAGTAAAAATTATTAGTAACTATTCGAACGAGAACAAACTTATCGCGGACAATTCTATGCTGACGTCACACGTACAGCTGATTCTGTCAAATTCGCCAAAAACAAAGTAGCGGTACTGCTGAATGCGCCACCTCTGTCTCTCTACATCGTGGTGGCGAACAATAACGAGTTAACGATCTTGGTTGCACATGTCTTCGTAAATAAGAGAGCAGTAACCCTTCTGCATAGTTATCGCAAGGCAGTGTTTCTGTAAGTGTGGTGTAAATGAATTTTCGATATACCTTGCGATATTTATATCGCCAGCTCTAAGTGTAGTGATATTTGGCGCTAAAAGCAAAATGAGTGAAGTGTGTGCTTATAAATATCTTAAGTTTCTTTATTTTATTAATTTATCTTGCAGAAAAAAACAAGAAGTGGGAAAATTACAAAAATTCAGAAAGTAAAACTTCTGGATTTAATGAAAAACAACAAGATGGTGGCAATGGGAAATTTTGGCGGTCCAAATAGCGCCTTGCACAGCCGCAATGTGTGGGAAGCCGTTGCTGTGGAGCTTAACGCAGTTGGAGAAGCTTGCAAAACAGCCGAGCAGTGGAAAAAGGTATATATATGAGCGCTTTTTAAAAAAGGTATGATGAAGTCATAATATATATTTTTTGTAGAGTTGGGCCGACTGGAAGTGCGCAGTAAAAAAACAGCAGGCAGAAATTAAAAGGTTTCAAAACCGAACCGGCAATTTGCCTGCGAGCG